GATCGGGGCCTCGGCTCCGCTCTGGGGGGTGCAGTTCGGGGCCTCGGCTCCCCTCCGGGGGCGCAGATCGGGGCCCCGGATGCCCTCCGGGTGCGCAGATCGGGGCCTCGGCTCCCCTCCGTGGGGTGCAGATCGGGGCCTCGGCTCCCCTCCGGGGGCGCAGATCGGGGTCTTGGCTCCCCTCCGGGGGTGCAGATGGTGGCCTCGGCTGCCCTCCGGGGGTGCAGATCACGGTCTTTGCTCCCCTCCGGAGGTGCAGATTGGGGCCTTGGCTACCCTCCGGGGGTGCAGATCAGGGCCTTGGCTGCCCTCTGGGGGTGCAGATCGGGGCCTTGGCTCCCCTTCGGGGCTCAGATTGGGGCCTCGGCTCCCCTCCGCGGGGTGCAGATCGGGGTCTCGGCTCCCCTCCGGGGGCGCAGATCGGGGCCTCGGCTCCCCTCCGGGGGTGCACCGCGGGGCCTCGGCTCCCCTCCGGGGGTTGCAGATCGGGGTCTCGGCTCCCCTCCGGGGCGGCAGATTGGGGCCTCGGCTCCCCTCCGGGGGCGCAGATCGGGGCCTCGGCTCCCCTCTGGGGGGTGCAGATCGGGGCCTCGGCTCCGCCTCGGGGGTGCACCGCGGAGCTTCGGCTCCCCTCCGGGGATGCAGATCGGGGTCTCGGCTCCCCTCCGGGGGGTAAAGATCGGGGCCTCGGCTACCCTCCGGGGGGGCAGATCGAGGTCTCGGCTCTCCTCTGGGGGCGCAGATTGGGGCCTCGGCTCCCGTCTGTGGGTGCACCGCGGGGCCTCCGCCTCCCCTCCGGGGGCGGAGATCGGGGCCTTGGCTCCCCTCCGGGGGCGCAGATCGGGGCCTTGGCTCCCATCCGGGGGTGCAGATCGGGGCCTCGGCTCCCCTACGGGGGCGCAGATCAGGGCCTCGGCTCCGCTCCGGGGGTTGCAGATCGGGGTCTCGGCTCCCCTCCGGGGGCGCAGATCGGGGCCTCGGCTCCCCTCCGGGGGTGCACCGCGGGGCCTCGGCTCCCCTCCAGGGGTGTAGATCGGGGCCTCGGCTCCCCTCCGGGGGCGCAGATCGGGGCCTCGGCTCCCCTCCGGGGGCGCAGATCGGGGCCTCGGCTCCCCTCCAGGGGTGCAGATCGGGGCCTTGGCTCCCCTCCGGGGGCGCAGATCGGGGCCTCGGCTCCGCTCCGGGGGGTGCAGATCGGGGCCTCGGCTCCCCTCCGGGGGTGCACAGCGGGGCCTCGGCTCCCCTCCGGGGGCGCAGATCGGGGTCTCGGCTCCCCTCCGGGGGGTGCAGATCGGGGCCTCGGCTCCGCTCCGGGGGTGCAGATCGGGGTCTCGGCTCCCCTCCGGGGGCGCAGATCGGGGCCTCGGCTCCCCTCCGGGGGCGCAGATCGGGGCCTCGGCTCCGCTCCGGGGGTTGCAGATCGGGGTCTCGGCTCCCCTCCGGGGGCGCAGATCGGGGCCTCGGCTCCCCTCCGGGGGTGCACCGCGGGGCCTCGGCTCCCCTCCAGGGGTGCAGATCGGGGCCTCGGCTCCCCTCCGGGGGCGCAGATCGGGGCCTCGGCTCCCCTCCGGGGAGGCAGATCGGGGCCTCGGCTCCCCTCCGGGGGCGCAGATCGGGGCCTCGGCTCCGCTCCGGGGGTGCAGATCGGGGCCTCGGCTCCCCTCCGGGGGTGCATATCGGGGCCTCGGCTCCCCTCCGGGGGCGCAGATCGGGGCCTCGGCTCCCCTCCGGGGGTGCAGATCGGGGCCTCGGCTCCCCTCCGGGGGTGCAGATCGGGGCCTCGGCTCCCCTCCGGGGGGTGCAGATCGGGGCCTCGGCTCCCCTCCGGGGGTGCAGATCGGGGTCTCGGCTCCCCTCCGGGGGCGCAGATCGGGGCCTCGGCTCCCTCCGGGGGTGCCCAGATCGGGGCCTTGGCTCCCCCCGGGGGTGCAGATCGGGGTCTCGGCTCCCCTCCGGGGGTAAAGATCGGGGCCTTGGCTCCCTCCGGGGGGCAGATCGGGGTCTCGGCTCCCCTCCGGGGGCGCAGATCGGGGCCTCGGCTCCCCTCTGGGGGTGCACCGACGGGGCCTCGGCTCCCCTCCGGGGGTGCAGATCGGGGCTCGGCTCCCCCTCCGGGGGTGCAGATCGGGGCCTCGGCTCCCTCCGGGGGGGTGCAGATCGGGGTCTCGGCTCCCCTCCGGGGGCGCAGATTGGGGTCTCGGCTCCCCTCCGGGGGCGCAGATCGGGGCCTCGGCTCCCCTCCGGGGGTGCAGATCGGGGTCTCGGCTCCCCTCCGGGGGCGCAGATCGGGGTCTCGGCTCCCCTCCGGGGGCAGACAGATCGGGGCAATCGGCTCCCCTCCGGGGGGAGATGCACCGGGGTCGGGGCCTCGGCTCCCCTCCGGGGGCGCAGATCGGGGTCTCGGCTCCCCTCCGGGGGTGCAGATCGGGGCCTCGGCTCCGCTCCGGGGGGTGCAGATCGGGGTCTCGGCTCCCCTCCGGGGGCGCAGATCGGGGCCTCGGCTCCCCTCCGGGGGTGCACCGCGGGGCCTTGGCTCCCCTCCAGGGATGCAGATCGGGGTCTCGGCTCCCCTCCGGGGGGTAAAGATCGGGGCCTCGGCTACCCTCCGGGGGGGCAGATCGGGGTCTCGGCTCCCCTCCGGGGGCGCAGATTGGGGCCTCGGCTCCCCTCTGGGGGTGCACCGCGGGGCCTCGGCTCCCCTCCGGGGGGTGCAGATCGGGGCCTCGGCTCCCCTCCGGGGGTGCAGATCGGGGCCTCGGCTACCCTCCGGGGGGTGCAGATCGGGGTCTCGGCTCTCCTCCGGGGGCGCAGATTGGGGTCTCGGCTCCCCTCCGGGGGCGCAGATCGGGGTCTCGGCTCCCGTCCGGGGGTGCAGATCGGGGCCCTGGCTCCCCTCCAGGGGTTCACCGCGGGGCCTCGGCTCCCCTCCGGGGGTGCACTGCGGGGCCTCGGCTCCCCTTCGGGGCGCAGACCGGGGTCTTTGCTCCCCTCCGGGGGTGCAGATCGGGGTCTGGGCTCCCCTCCGGGGGCGCAGATCGGGGCCTTGGCTGCCCTCCGCGGGCGCAGATCGGGGCCTTGGCTCCCCTCCAAGGGGTGCAGATCGGGGCCTGGGCTGCCCTCCGGGGGTGCAGATCACGGTCTTTGCTCCCCTCCGGAGGTGCAGATTGGAGCCTTGGCTACCCTCCAGGGGTGCAGATCGGGGTCTCGGCTCCCCTCCGAGGGGCGCAGATCGGGGTCTTGGCTCCCCCGGGGGCGCAGATCGGGGCCTCGGCTCCCCCTCCGGGGGTGCAGATCGGGGCCTCCGCTCCCGTCCGGGGGCGCAGATCGGGGTCTCGGCTCCCCTCCGGGGGCACAGATCGGGGCCTCGGCTCCCCTCTCGGGGGTGCAGATCGGGGCCTCGGCTCCCCTCCGGGGGCAGATCGGCTCGGTGGGGGCGCAGATCGGGCCTCGCTCCCCCCTCCGGGGGTGCAGATCGGGGCCTCGGCTCCCCTCCGGGGGGTGCAGATCGGGGTCCTCGGCTCCCCTCCGGGGGTGCAGATCGGGGCCTCGGCTCCCCTCCGGGGGTGCAGATCGGGGCCTCGGCTCCCCTCCGGGGGCGCAGATCGGGGCCTCGGCTCCCCTCCGGGGGGTGCAGATCGGGGCCTCGGCTCCCCTCCGGGGGTGCAGATCGGGGCTCGGCTCCTCCGGGGGTGCAGATCGGGGCCCGGCTCCCCTCCGGGGGTACAGATCGGGGCCTCGGCTCCCCTCCGGGGGTGCAGATCGGGGCCTCGGCTCCCCTCCGGGGGCGCAGATCGGGGTCTCGGCTCCCCTCCGGGGGTGCAGATCGGGGCCTCGGCTCCGCTCCGGGGGTGCAGATCGGGGCCTCGGCTCCCCTCCGGGGGCGCAGATCGGGGTCTCGGCTCCCCTCCGGGGGCGCAGATCGGGGCCTCGGCTCCCCTCCGGGGGTGCACCGCGGGGCCTCGGCTCCCCTCCGGGGGTGCAGATCGGGGCCTCGGCTCCCCTCTGGGGGGTGCAGATCGGGGCCTCGGCTCCGCTCCGGGGGGCGCAGATCGGGGTCTCGTCTCCCCTCCGGGGGCGCAGATCGGGGCCTCGGCTCCCCTCCGGGGGTGCACTGCGGGGCCTCGGCTCCCCTCCGGGGGCGCAGATCGGGGCCTCGGCTCCGCTCCGGGGGGTGCAGATCGGGGTCTCCCCTCCCCTCCGGGGGCGCAGATCGGGGTCTCGGCTCCCCTCCGGGGGCACAGATCGGGGCCTCGGCTCCCCTCCGGGGGTGCACCGCGGGGCCTCGGCTCCCCTCTGGGGGTGCAGATCGGGGTCTCGGCTCCCCTCCGGGGGGTGCAGATCGGGGCCTCGGCTCCGCTCTGGGGGGTGCAGATCGGGGTCTTGGCTCCCCTCCGGGGGCGCAGATCGGGGCCTCAGCTCCCCTCCGGGGGTGCACCGCGGGGCCTTGGCTCCCCTCCGGGGGTGCAGATCGGGGTCTCGGCTCCCCTCCGGGGGGTAAAGATCGGGGCCTCGGCTACCCTCCGGGGGGGCAGATCGGGGTCTCGGCTCTCCTCCGGGGGCGCAGATTGGGGCCTCGGCTCCCCTCTGGGGGTGCACCGCGGGGCCTCGGCTCCCCTCCGGGGGGTGCAGATCGGGGCCTCGGCTCCCCTCCGGGGGTGCACCGCGGGGCCTCGGCTCCCCTGCGGGGGTGGAGATCGGGGCCTCGGCTCCCCTCCTGGGGCGCAGATCGGGGCCTCGGCTCCGCTCTGGGGGGTGCAGATCGGGGCCTCGGCTCCCCTCTGGGGGGTGCAGATCGGGGCCTCGGCTCCGCTCCGGGGGGCGCAGATCGGGGTCTCGTCTCCCCTCCGGGGGCGCAGATCGGGGTCTCGGCTCCCTTCCGGGCGTGCACCGCGGGGTCTTGGCTGCCCCCCCCGGTTCCGTGCGTGGGCGCGGCGGGCGGCTGGAGCGATGCCCGGTCCCGCCCCGGCTGCGCAGGGCGCGGGCGGCGGACGAGCCTTGGGAAGGGCGGGCTGAGCCTGGCCCCATCGGCCCGCCCCGCCGGCCCGGCCCAAGCGGGCGGGGATTTGCTGACCCGGGGCCGGCGTGACGGGGCCAGCGGCCGCCGCGCCATGGGGCCCCCCGCCGAGACCGACCTCTACCGGGACACCTGGGTGCGCTACCTGGGTGAGTGTGAGCCCGACCCCGACCCCGACCCCGCGCCCGTGTAAGGCGTGTGCACGGCGCGGCACTAACGCCAGGCCGGTGACGTGTCCGGAGCAGGGTCTGCCGCAGTGTCAGACACGGAGCCGTGTGTGTGTGTGCGCCGCACACAGGTGGGGAAGGGGCTGTGTGTCCTCCCAGGAGAGAGGCAGCCACACTCCAGAGCTCACCCTGCAAGGGTTGGTTGTGAGCCTGATTTCTCAAGGTGTTATTGTGGTGTGTGTGTGTGTGTGTGTTGCTGTGTAACCACACACCGATTTACACACATCAGTGTCCTGTGTGTGTGTGTTGTGCAGCCAGACACCGATTTACGTAGATCAGTGTACAGTGTGTGTGTGTTGCTGTGTAACCACACACCGATTTACACACATCAGTGTCCTGTGTGTGTGGCTGTGCAATCCGTGCACAGCACATGCAGGCACCCGTGCGCTCCATCCCCCCCCGCAATTGTTGCATTGCGGAAAAGGGGGCCATGTCCCATGCCATGCTATGAGCATTTGGCTTCTTTGAGTCCCTGGGTCAGATGTGCCCCTGTGGCCAGGCACGCTATGGGATCTTGCCAGTGATGAGCTGCCAAAAGCTGAAGAACGGGGTTCTTCACTCGCTCCGGGTCTTCGGCGGCACTGGAGGACCTGCCGAATTAAAAAGGGATTCTCAGGGGAGCCTCCCCAGCCGAGAGCTCAGGCGGGCCGGACAGGATGGCCCTGGGGGCAGAATGTGGCCCGCAGGCCGGAGTTTGCCCACCCTTTAACAACCAGTGCTAAACTGGCTTCAAAATTTAACAACCGGCTCCAGCTCACCACTGGATCTTCCTGCTGGGGCTGGCTTTCTGGCTGAGACGTGGAACAGCCCCCACCTGCCGTGGGCAGCTCTCACCAAGTGATGGGCTGCTGGAGGCCGATGCAGGGAACAAAGGGCACGCTCAAGGTGACCTTCCTGCCCATCAGCCCCAGGCTAGTGAGGCCTCTGCAAGGGCTCAGTGTTTCCGCCCTCCGGAGGCGCCTGGCACAGCCTGTAGGTGTCAGAGGCACCAGGGCTAAAAATAACCCTGGAAGCACTGCTGACAGCCCAGGGCACGCTGAGAAGGCGGCTGCTCTGAAACTCTGTGTGGTGCGTCTGCGAGCGAGCCCTGGAGAGCCTCAGAGTAGTGCAGCAGAGGGCAAGCTTTGCCCACATTGCCCTGCCCCATGCCTCAGCCCTGCTGAGGAGGCACCCAGGGCCTATTCGCTCCTGGGCCGGCGCCTCCCGCAGAGTTTACATGTGCAGTTCCCAGCCTCGTGATCCCAGAGGTGACCTGATGCAGAATTGTCTGTTCAGTCTGCAGCGGGTCTGACACTCTCTGAGAGGCGTGAGCTGCCCATTGGCTGCAGGGAGCTGCCAGGCTGAAGCCTAGTGCTGATGCTTGAATGACAACACTGGGGCTGCTGATCATTGAGCTACTGCGGTGTTGTGGGTGGAGCTTGGGTAGGATCCCACCGTTTTTTTGTTTCAACTCCTCTCTGGCCTGTGCCTTAGCCTCTTCTGTAACTAAACCCTCCCCCACTGGTCCCTCTGACCTTGCCCTTTCTTAAAGGCTACGCCAATGAAATTGGAGAGTCCTTCAGAGCCATTGTGCCCATCTCGCTGGTCTGGGCGAGCTACGGGGTGGCTACCACATATGTGACAGCCGACGCGATTGATAAGGGAAAGAAGGCAGCTGTTGTAAGTATCCTGGAGCTCTCAAACCCTTCTGTCCCTGTACCCCAGAGCTGGTTGTCTCCTGGACCCCTGGGATTGCCTGTGTGTGTGTGTGTGTGTGTCCTAAACCCCATAGAGGGGCCAGAACAAGATTCTGTCACTTAGACCCTGGTCAGGTCCTGTGCCAGCGGGGAGGGCAGGCTAGGGTGGGTCTCCCTGTCAGGCCTTTGACCTTCCATGGGGCAAGGGCTCTCCTCTCCTGCTGACAAACTGGGCAGCCTGGGGCCAAGTTCTCTCATCTGCTAACTCCACCCTCCCTCTCATTCCTGCCCAGATCCTGTCTACTAGGCCAGACCTGCTCATGCACCAAAAATCTGCTTCTGCCTCTGAGCCCCATCTTTTCACAGACAAAGTCAGTCTGGCACACCTCCACTGCACAACTCTCTGCACTGAGGCCCTGTCTTCCTCTCCCGCTCCACCGGCTATAGATGTCAGACTCCATAGATTGAAGTTCCTGGGCATGTTTTAATTCATGGTGTCAGCTCAGGACTTGTAGTGTCCTATATCTCCATTCTGTGAAATTCACCTGCCTTTTCCTTTCAGTTCTTTCTCACTCACCTTCTTGGGTCGGACAGTGGACCATAAGAATTCCCCTGCAGGAAGAGACTTGTGGTCCATCTAGTGCAGTATCCCATGTCCCTGACACTCTGGAAGAGACCCCTGAGCTCTCCAGTCCAGAGCCCTGTATCTGACATTGGCCAGCGCCAGATGTGTCGTAACTGTGCAATATGCTGGGCTGCGGGATCATTCCTGAGCCCACCATCTGCAAAAGCATTTGGGTTTAGGGCATGCCAGGAGCTGGCAGCAGATCCAGGAGCCCGAGAGGCCAGCTACAGCACCTCCAGGAGCGTGGAAGAGGATGTTCTGACCCCTGCTGCTGTGCTGGAGACGGGGGCAGAGCCTGCTAGCACTGAACCCCCATCCAATGGTAGCTAGAGAGCAAGGAGCCACGTGCTGTGGTCTGGGTGAGCGAGCCGGGGAGGCCTGGCTCCCTTTGAAGGGGCAGGTGGGATCCCCATCAGACACAGCAGTGACTTGGCAGCTTCCTTGCTGTGTGTCGGCTGTGCTGCCCCGCGGTGCCAAGCTGAGCTCTGCGGCGGTTCCTGATTGGTGGTACCACCCTGCACGCACCAGGGCAGCACCTTCCCTGCTCAGGTGAGCTAATGCACCCACCCAGATGCGTACAGACACACCCAGCCCTTCACCCCTGTGCATGCATGGATCTGTACAGCCCCAGCCTGCACACGCACGCATATGGACGTGCACACCCACAAATCCACAGAGACCTGTACACCCCCTGCCTGCACACACACCTGTACACGTGTGCGCTCACACACACACACAGAGACCTGTACACCCCCTGCCTGCACACACACCTGTACACGTGTGCGCTCACACACACACACACAGACCTCTGTACACCCCCTGCCTGCACACACACCTGTACACGTGTGCGCTCACACACACACAGAGACCTGTACACCCCCTGCCTGCACACTCTCCTGTATGCATGTGTGCTCACACACACAGAGCGCCCATAACAAACGATTTTCTCTGCTTGCCTTCTGCTGTGGTCCATTCCTCTCTGCATCATTTCCCCCAACCCATACTGGACCCTGTGTGTAACCCACCTCTTCCACATCACTGATACATTCCTCTCTGTACATGCCCCCCCATCCACACCCTGCTGTTCTGCCCCTCTCCTCCAGTACAGTGTCCCTGCTCTCCATGCTCTCTTTGCTGCACCCATCAGGCACATGAATACGACGCGGGGAAGACGACGCGGGTGGCCGTGGCTGTGGTGGATACGTTTGTGTGGCAGGCGCTGGCCTCCGTAGCCATCCCCGGCTTCACCATTAACCGCATCTGTGCTGCCTCCCTCTACCTCCTGGGCACCATGACCCACTGGCCCCTCCCCATCCGGAAGTGGATGACCACAGCCATTGGCCTCTCAGCCATTCCCATCATCATCAAGCCCATTGACAGGTAAGGGCTGGCCTGGCTTCCCTGGCATGCCAAGGTTTAACACTGCGGAGGCAGGATCATGGCTAAGCACCTGGGGCTCAGGACTCTGGGCAAGAGTCCAGAGGCTTGTGATGCCCTGGGGGGGGAAGATGATGGTGGAGGGGGTAGTGTACACTACTTACATAGAGAGGCATGGTGTTAAAGCAGAGGACTAGGAGTCAAGACTCCTCCCTCCGCTATTGACTCATGGTATGGCCTTGGGCAAGTCATGGGGCTGCTCTGTGCCTTGTTTTCCCTGCCTCTATCAGCGGTAGCTACAGTGCTTGGCATTAAAAATGCAGCATTTGCCAGTAGTGCTCTGCCTGAGGGATACCAGTGACCCTTGTAAGCCCCTGCACCCTGACCCCGCTGCCTGGCAGGAGCACTGTGGAGGGAGGAGCCCCCGTGCTCCAACTCCATTTCCCCAGCTGGAGTGCCGGGGGAACTGCAGGTGGAAGGGGTAGAGAAAGGCCCCACTTGCTCTGGCCCAGTGCCCCACAAACCCCTAATCTGAGTGGAGCAATGCCTGAGTGTCTTTGGATCGAGGCCGTAGGCACCCAACTCCTGCTGAAAGTCCCCTCATGCCCCAGGCCCTCTGGCAAGCACAGCCTGTGTGTTCATTGTCAAGCAGCTCAGAGGGAGCTAGCACTGGGGAATTTGTGCAAGTACCCTGGTTGCACCATTGCCCTGCACCAGGATGGTGTCACCCTCTCCTGGCACAGCTGCCGTTAAACACCTGGCCGAGCACAGCGCTAGCTCACAGCTAAACCCTGTCCATTGCTTCAAGGGGTCTCGACCACAGGAAGACTGCAGGGGCCCATGGCAAATACCAGCCTGGGGCTGATGACAAGACTCCATGCTCACTAGGAAATGCCGACACTAAAAAATGACCCATAAGCCACCAAGCAAAGGCCAGTGTAGGCCTGGGAAGCTGAAGTGGATTGGCTCACATGGGGCCTTAGTCCTCACTGGTGCCTGGCAGTAGGGGGTGGTGCATGAAGCTTGTCCGGCCATCCCACATGGTGCTGCTCTTTGCTTTCACCCGTCACCCGCTCTGTATTACCAACATGGGCATCCACACATCATGAGTCAGCCCCTGCCCCAAGCATGGCTTTTTTTTAAAGACGCCACCCAAAGCCATGTTGGTTTTGGTTGGCTGCTAGTGGCCTAGCTGTTCAGGGTCACAGCTCCAAGCTTTTCCTCACCCCCTCTGGGGAATAGAACCTTAGTTTCCATTTTAAAAAGTGAGGTTCTCCTGCTCAGATAACTCGAAGAGCTGCGAGCACTAGCTGCACTTGTGTGTGCTAAGCATCCCCCTGTACCAAGAACCTAGAGGGCTATAAAAATAGCTGGAATTTAAGAGCAGCCCTCTGGCTGCCTCTAATAGGGGCTGCCATGTGCAAGAAGAAACGGGCAGCTGGCATCAAAGAGCAGGTGGCTGGGCAGCACATCCATCAAGGGACTGAACAGCTAGGAGGAGAAAGAAAATCAAAGGAGACCTTATGGTTAACCCTTTCACTAAGGGCCCCACACTGATCACGTTAGAGATGGATACAAATGCTTTCCAAGTAACTCCTAGCTGTGAGCTAGTGCTCTGGGGCTGTTTGCTAGGAGAGGGGGCCCAGCTGACGGAATGAAGGGATATGCAAGGGGCACAATGGGATAGGAGCATGAAAACACCTGTTTGAAGTAACTTCAGCCTCCCCTCTCTGCAGGTCTGTGGATTTTCTGATGGACTCCAGCCTTCGCAAACTCTATGGTGCAAAAGAGAAACATCCCTCTTCTTCCTGAGGCAACCCCCCTGCCCCCATGGCTGAAGTGGGGCAGCGGGGAGAACTCTCACCCATCCAGCTCCACACCTCACAACTGACTCCACTGTATTTGAGTAATTTTCTGCTGTTAAGCCAACTTACTGTGACATCAGGGCAGGAGAACAAGAGGGCTGGGCAGTCCTGCCCCATGCATCTCTGCTTCAGAGGCATTAGCACCAGGCCTGAATGGCCAGGAGCTGGTTGTCCTACCCAAATGCTGGCAGCCTAGCTGCTTTGGCAGAATGGGATTTCAGGGTTGTTTTTGGTCCTTTGTGGCCTGATTCAGGGAGTATTGGGGGAGGAGAAGAGGAAAAGCGGAATTGCTACCAAAACCCCCGTGGTATTAATACAGGCTAGGGCTGGTAGAGGCTCTATCTAAGTTACAAAGCCGTGGGACAGGTTAGGTTTGGCCTATCGAGAGATCTGCATTTACTGTGAAAAACCCTGTTCTGGGGGTTAATTGTACTAACTCACATTCATCTAACTGGCTCCAGTTCCTGCTGTTTGACTAGTCAGGTTCCCACTGTAAAACAACTCTGCAATTCCTTCTCCTCAGAATAAACCACTTTAACCTGAATTCACTCCAGTTCCATGGGATATTGAACTCGCTGGTTAAGGCTCCCTCTGCTTTAGTGCAGGGACACTCTTAATAGCTAGGATATGCTGGCATGGAGAGACCTGAGGAGGTTTGTCTCTCCCTTCCTCTAAGAAGCAGAGACAATGCAACAGACAGACACCAGGAAACTCAGGGTTTGGGTGGTGACCCCTGTAGTCCCCTCGCCTGCAGCACGAGTCTCAGAGCATTGACCCGACCTGTAGCACAGCTCTGGTTGACCGTTCAGCCTGTTTTCAGAGACTTAACCGCTAGCCTTGAGATGATTCCCCCCCTCACTCCAGCTCTATTTTCTGAGTCCTTTGCTACTGACAATTTCCCCTAGTTCATTGTTACAGGTCAGCTGAAGGCAGAGATAAGTGCATGTGCCCTTCACACCTATGCCATCACCACAGGCCATGGCTACTTGCACCTGTTATTTCTGAGCTTCACACCGTTCTGACTTCTGCATCCTCCCACCACCCTCATTTGTCAGCTGCCACTCACACTGGCCAGCCAGTTCCTGAGCTTTAGGCAGCCAGAAAGGCATCAGCCACAGGTTGGGTTTTTGTTCATTTTTCTTATGTGATCAAGTATCTATTCTGCTATTGCACTCAGGCTCCCCTAGTTGGGGGGTGGATAGGAACTGCTGCATTGCAAAGTGGGACTCTTCCATCTGCCATGGCTGCTTACTAATAGGAATGCTTGGAGCTAGGAGTTGCCACAAAGTCTTAACCTATGGGTCTCTAGACCAAGCAGCTGCATAACATCACCCCCCCCCCCCCCAGAGTATCTGGACCTGTTGGTGGAGAAAACTAGGAAACCCAAGGCTCATTCCAGCAAGGAAGATCCAGATTCTCATGGAGGGCAGAGTCAGTGTCTCATCTCCCCCTGCCCCTCCTCCCCCCCCCCTTGGGGGCTTGGAGACCTCAGCAGAGGGAAGACAGACAAGAGATGAACATTAGAGAAAGAGCATTTATTGTAGCTTGAAGGGCTGGTTATTCCTTCTCTGATGCATCTGTATTCAAGTTGTAGTCTATGCTGGATTCTCTCTGATCCTTCTGTATCTCTTCAGCAGGAACAAGGGCACTCACCACAGTCTGCAGCTCTGTATGGTAGGGGTACTCCTTCCTCTTCCTCAGCAGCCTTTGCCCTTTGCTGCTCTGGTATGACCGGAACAAGGCCAGAGCCAGAGCTAAGAGGCCTCCTACAAAGAGGGCTCCCACTAGACAGCTACCCACAAAAGCAACACCCACCAGCAGAAGCTTCTTCAGGGTGCGGCATCGTTCTAGGGGACAGAGACATTTAGGGGTTGAGTCCAGACCAAGTGGACCAAAGAAAAATGTAGCCCTAGGAGAAGCCAGTCTCTTATGAGCCCTGCATTTGTGTATCGGCTCCCAGTGCCTAGCCATTCATTAGATGCCACCTACAGAGAAATGCCCAGAACTGCTGTTACAAGCTGTGCCAGCTGGGAGCTACAAAACCAAGTACTGCCTTCTTACTCAGAGATGAGTGCCAGAGCTTTTACCATTAGTCTTAACCATTTCCAGGTGTTGTAGGGGTGGAAGGACCCTGAGTCTAAGTTATTCATTCCCACTTCCCTCCCAGTACAATGAGTTTGTCAGGTCTCATTCACACCTACCTTCATACCACGGAGCCTCTTCCTTGCACACGGTCAAGGGGCCAGCTACCTTTCTGTGGAGCATCCCTTCACCTACAAACTCTGTAGGAAAAACAGGTCTTTGGACAACCCAGTCCGAGTATGGGTAGTCACTTTACTACAGAGGCAGGTGAGCACAGCCATGGAGATCTATGGGATGGCTACAGCCACCTTCATTCCACAAGGAGATGGAGGCTACAGGTCCAAGCTAGTCAGCACAGGCTGCATCACCATATTGAGGGGCTTTTGGTTAATAGAGTAGGAGTTACTTGTGTGAGAGAGTTCAATACCCAGCTCAGGTGCCTTAGCTTGATTTGATTTGGCAAGGTGGCTTGATACCATGCAGCCCCCACCATTCTTGTGCTGCATATGATGGAGTGGAGGCTGCCCACAGTCTGATGTTAGATGGGGTCTGTGTGTTTGTGTCCCCATCAGAGCAGGGAGATGGTTGTGACCGGCTCCTGTAGGATAGCTAGACTTTCCCCCTCCTCATGAGGAATTGAGGCTCACAGAAGAGGGCCAGTCAAGATCACATTTCCTCAACATTGCCCCATTCTTGTTGGCTGCATTATTGCCCTCAAAACCACACAAGTCCAGTGGAGAGCCCAATGCTAACTGGCCACAGCAGAGTGGATGATACCAGGAACCCAGAAGCCCTCCCACTCTGGACAGATGAAACACCCTCTTATGGCATTGCTGCCAGGTCCTGCCTGCAGTCTGCTGAGACAGCCCCAGCAGAGAACATCTGTTTCTCTGCAGCAAAGTCAGAGTGACCATTCTGTTTGGGGAGCACTCACCAATTGGCTATACAATCTGGCTGCACAGTATCAAGCATGCAGAGAAGAAAAGGGACACAGGGTCCTGGTACCTCTTAGTTCTCCTGGAGGAGTGGGGTCAGCAGGGCAGTGGCTGTCACAGCAGCTACACTTTAAGTTCTGGGAAGGATCCTCGAGGTTCTGCCAGCTGGAGATAGTGAGAGGAAGGAATCACTGGGCAGCAGTCCCTGCACAGCACATCTGGGATCAGGAGTGGTCCCACAGGGAGGGTACCCCCTATAGCCCCACAAGCAGGTACTTTGAGGACAGGCCAGCCCCACACCATTATAGCCTTGGCTTCTCTGCAGAGGCTGCCAGTTGGTGACAGCTGTGATGGCCATTTCCATGTGGCAGCTTGCCCACTAGAACTGAATGGAAACCCACTGCTTCACATAGGCTACTCAATCAAATGGTCACTACTGATCAGAGCTGGATTCAAGCCAGCTTCCTGGACATACCCTCCCAGCAGGGTGTTATGTTGGCAGGGGGCCACATTTAATCCAGGTGGCCAGATTCAAGCCATTGGTGGCTCAAATTTAGTCATATGTCCTCCTCCACAAGCATAGCCCAGAGAGCCTTCTCCAGGCACTGTTTGACAGATGCTCTGGAGTAGTGTCTTGTTTGTGCTCAGATGTGAAAAAGCACTTCCCCAGATGCAACTGTTGCAACAGCCCTGCCAGCTGCTTCTTATATGGGAGAGCCCCACTAGTCAGTGTTAATGGGCATTTTGGTCACAGCCCCCAGAAATGCACTGAGAATGGCTGAGCAGACCTGAAGGAGGTACTGTTGTAATAGCAGGACTTCTTCCCCAGGCTTGTGAGGCTCTCCTGACCCCATGCAGTCAGCAGGCAGTGAATGTAGATCTGAAAGAGACAACTTGTGCTCAGAGCAAACCCTAAGCTCCCACCCCAGATTCATACCCCAGGTGCTGCTGGTCAGTCTACATGTAGGCCAGGAGAGGGATTGAGCTCAAGGTCATGGTCAGAGCAGCCAGGGGAAACCCTTGGGCCAAGCCTCATCTTGGATGAAGCTTGCACTGACTGACAATTTCATTTGATGTTCTAAGTTTGGAGGGAGCCTGGCAGGTGTCCAGAAGCAGATAGGATGGTGGGCTTGCCCACTGTCATGCAACTGCCATACATGCAGCCTTCCCACTCCAGGCAGGCCCAGAGCCACTGGGGAACAGAGGTGAAGCTAGTGCACAAATGAGGGCCTGGGAAGAGTTGGCTGTCTGGAGAGGCAGTGCACAGGGACCCCACAGCTGAATGATTCTGAGGGCTGAGCCAAGCACAAGCCTCTCTTCTGAACCATTTGCTGTATATGCTTGTGTTGAGATGGGGCAAGGGGCAGCCAGCTCAGCCAGTCTGGCTACTGCACACGTTCCAGGACAGACATCTCCCTGAAAGCCCCAGCTACATCGTTGGAGATGCAAGCTGGTGTCCCGCAAGGGGTGCTCATGGGCGTCTTAGCCTGGGCAATAGGGCAGGACATAGTGCTGCCTTCCTAGATCAGTCTTCCATGGCAAGGATAACCCCCTGGTTCCAGCCAGGTAGATTCAGGGGCAGTTAAAGCACCCAGCTAACAGAGAGGAGACTTTGGGATCCTTGTAGGAGGATCTGGATTCCAGTTAAGGTGGCTTTCACCAAGCAGTTCCTGCTTTTCTGGCTTAGCCGGGAGGGGCAGGCAGAGTCTCTCATAGGGCACTGTCTGTTCAGAATTAGGATTCTGAAGCAGGACAGGCAATTGCTGCCGAGTGCCTTGGCTAGGCTGCAAAGTACAGTCAGCTCCACTCAGTTGCTGCAGGGAGCTTGTTAAAGGCTCCCAAGTCTGCTTCTTAGTTGGCAGCATCTGAGGAGGCAGATGCCCTCCTCTATCAGCCCTGGCTGAGCCCAGCTGCCCCTTTCAGCCACTAGCAGAACAATGCCTGAGGGCACAGCCAGTCACACTCCCCACCCATAGTGGGGCCTCACCTTTTCCTCTGGTTCGCCAGCCAGCATGAAAGCCTGGATGGCAAACTGCAAGGCAGAATCCTCCGGCCGACGCCAGATTGCAATGTCTCCAGACTCCCCCCCATGCAGACACCTGGGGGAGACAAGAGAGCCAGCCAGGGATGCCTTGAGCCCAGGGTCACAGCCTCCAGAAGGGGGAAGGGATCAGAGGAAGTGCCCTCCCCAGCAGTGATGTGCAGACTGAGTAAGGGTTGTCATGTTACTGACCAGGCTGCCGTTCTTCCCATTGACTTGTCCTAGGCTCCCCAATACCAAGGTGGTGGGCACAGCCCAGGAAGAGACTCCCTCAAGTGTATGCATTGGAGTTACATGTTCCCCTGCTAGAGCAAGGGATCCACACACCCCTACATCTGGGAGAGTAAACAGGGATGACTGAGGGTTTAATATAGGAACCAGCTGAGGGTCAAAGAGCACCTGCTCCCCCTCCCTGCTGTATTTTTGCTCCAGGGAAGTGCTGAAATCCAGCCTAGGGTGACCAGATATCAGGACTGTCCCTATAAA